ACGCAGCTGTTAGATTGTGTGGCTCGTAGTATTGCTGGTAACCATTAGGTTTTGTTCACTGCTAGATCGAAAAAATTAGTTTCATAAAGAACAAGGGTCAAAATGTGGAATTCAACCTGTAGATAGTCAGTGCATATGGATAGTTGATGATGGACTATTAAAATTCTTATCTAAGTTTTCCATATTGTCATGCGAACAATAATCAAATTAATCGGTGATGTGTGAAAAATAGCTTTGCGGACCGGTTAGCTTTTGATTGTATGCAATATGTTAAATTAACGAATCATACGCATGCACCAAATCCAAATGAAATTAAAGTTGCTGAATTTGAATCGACAATTAATGAACATGCAACAACATTGCATGATGCATATATAAGAATTATAAATGAAGCATTATTGAGTGTGCATAAAGATGATGCAGCATCACAACGTGAATTGCATGCAAACGCAAGAAAAATAACACACCATTACCAAGTCCAACATCATTTCAGGATATTAAATATTCCACAGCACTTAAAGTTGACCAGTGGTGGTAATAAATGTTTATTATATGATAATAAAGGCTACTATACCAGAATCATTATATTGTCATCTGATGACAATTTACACCGTTTGTCAAGCTCTGAACATTGGCATGCTGACGAAACGTTTAAAGTTAGAAAATATAATTTTATAGCTATCGTAAATATGATCAATTGCACATAACTAATTTATACATTGGTTCTCAGGTATTCATCAATAATATACTATACATGACTCTATTGGTGGACGTTCCTTACCATTCATGTATGCTACTCTTCCAGGCAAATCTGAAGCTACTTATGATAAATTATGGGATGTTCTGTATTGATTACGAGAAGACTGCGAAAGATGTAATTGAACGAAGACTACTAACATCCACCATAAGCGGCTATTTTTCCACTTTAAACAAGTATCATGGATAAAAATACAAATACGTATTTATTGTTCTGATAGCAACTGCAGCATGGAAAGTACTTATAATAATATTAAATTATTTAACATAATGTTTTAATTTACAACAGCAATCGACGATAGTCACGACGTTCAACATAGTTTAAAAGATTTTGTTTGCTTATCCCTTGTTCCAGAGGGCTTCGTTGTGAAAAATACTATGAAAGAATTCAAGAATAATCTCTTGATAAAATAACTGACACGTCGTTTTACGCATTATATAATTAAAATGCTCACAAAATCTGTTCTCTATTGAAACTATGCAGATTTTGTCGATTGTTTCGAAGATAACTATATACATGTAGAATGTTGTATTCGGAATGATTATCATTGTGTTCTTTGTTTTCGTAGAGCTTTGTGGAATTGCTTCTTGTGTTTGAAGCAGCGACTTTCACGCATCAATAATTCGTTAGAAGGATGACATCGTGCTTTAAAAGTAAAACAATGTTTTGAAAACAATTTTTTCTATTTTGTATGAATTTCTATTTAGAACTCGGCTTGCACAAATTCATCTATTTATGTATCCATTAAAGATCTTCAAATCGAACACCATGCTAACTTAGTTATGACTGAGTGATTAGAAGCTTGACTAAACATATTGTATATTAACAAATGACTCAATAACTTCAACACCTGACGACCATTTTTTTATTCAATAACAAGAAAGAAATACTTTGAAAGAGCCAGAGCTTTCTTCCATTTTTTGAACTTATTATTGATTTCTGTAGTTGTAATAAATTCTTCATTTTGTTGATTTTTTAAGCTCAAATAGCGAAGGTTCATAGTGCGAGAAGCTCAAATATCGTGAACTCAAATATTGAGGAGCTCATTCGTAAAGATTCAACTGTCATGTTACCCTGTCATGATGTATGAAATTTGTATAGTTGTTTGTCATGATCTACGATGAAGGAGAGACGTTGCAAAAAGTGTTCGTCACATCACTGGAAGGTAAATTCTGAGTTCGAAGTTTTACTTTAACAGGATGTGAGTGTGGGTGTGGATGAGACGTCACTGTAGGTTGTGGAAATGGAAATAGATATCCACCTAACCTATACTCGCATCCACACCCTTCATAGTTGAATAGAGCATACTCGACTGCACATGCTTACACAGACTTGGCTTCACTCGGAAGTTCAAACTAGCAGAGAAAGAACAAACAATTAGATTCACACAGGTGATTCTATAATTTTTCACAGCACTGTAGATATCTTGCTCAACGGACTCTTCGAATTGAACGCTTGTACCATCTTGAGCATGTAATATTGATAGGAAAATAAAATCATTTCATTTAAATCGAGAATATCATGTTTCGTTTGATGTAAAAAAAACGGATTTTATTTTAATAAATTATTATATATATAAACATTGAGTTATGTTTTAGAGAGATATTGCTAGTAGAGAAACTATTAAAACAACGAAAAGAGGGTATACAAAAAGGTTTATTCGATTTCTTCTTAACCCTTTACGGCCGAATGTTGCTTTTTGGCAACATTTTGCCAATATCATCTTAGGATTTATTTTAAAGTGACGAGATATAGTTCCTTAAGCGATCTGATAATTAATTACACGTATTTT